AAGGGAAAAGTCATTATAATGACGAAAACATTTTAAGAAAAGCAGACAGGCCGCAAGACATAACAGAAAAAAATCAACCCTTTGTCTCAGTTTCCGGCGACAACTTTACCAAGATCGTTTTTCGTTTCTCTTGGCTCCATAAGTGTCCTGAATATTGACATTATTATGCTCTGAGATCTTGGAGTTTCTTAGGAAGGGTGATGAGCAATACCTGTCTGACTTGCAACGTTTGGTGATGTGCACAGTCTCCTAATTTCATTGTAGCTGGTCTGGTTCTCAGGCTTTTTGTTGAGTTTTCATGTAATGTGTACGCCATGCTTATAAGGGAACGATGGGGAAGAAGTGACCGCCTCCGATGAGATGAAGTTACCTCAGGTTCAACGTCTCTGCTCGAATCTGTGCTTCAAACCTCCTAAATGATCCTCCGGGCAGAGCCCGTAGATATATGTGATAGAGATCAGACTTTAGCCCAGCAGAATGAGACGCATGTTTTGCATGAATGGTGGCTAAAGGTGATTTCGCCGGTCTCATATCTGCAGTATCACGTATGAGGGTCTTCGATGACCGGCTTTTTTTGCGTTTTTCCAAAAGTGCACAAAACGTTTGCAATCTCGAAGATCTCACGCTCGTTTTGCATGAAATCAACGAAACTCTTCAGTGCAACCATTGCATGTGTGAGTGGTGCCAAAGAGAACTCAAGAACTTGCGCACCTAACACACGCAACAGGCGTTTTTGCGTCTAACGAGTGTGATATTGATGTTCAGAAAATCTGGCCGCACTTTCCATCATATGTGGCCGAATTCGAATGTTCACATTTGTTCGGGAAAGTTCTGCGGCACCGTAGCCTTGAGTGGACGTAGTGGTGAAAGTCTTGTCCGCTCCTGTCGTGTTCCGCGCTGACGAGTACCCGACAGGAGGCCCGTCGCGCGGCGAGGAGAGGAAGGGGTCAACCAACGATATGCGGCTGGTAGGACATACTATTTAACTTGACGCAGAACCGCTACAATGCGCGCTGCGACTCCTCCGCGACCCTCTGCTCCTCTGCGTTCTTGCCTCACGACGGGCCTCCTGACGGGTACTCTGTGCTGACTCACCAAACTCATCAAAAGCTTGCACCATGAGCACATTTAGTCCTCTGATCTCAAACATGGCACTGGGGTTAAAAATACAGGGTGGCTAGAGAGGATTGCTCGCAACCTCCACACGTGCCTTGGCAATCGCTGAATTCCTATTTCAACAACAAAACATAACATAGTTCCTATTTTCAATATCAATCATGTGCTCCCGCCAGAATATCGCAGTCGTTTAGAAAACCTATACGACCGTCCCAACACCGAGCAAAAACCGCGCACCTCGTAAAACATCACACTCTATAACGGAAAAAGTTGGAAAGCTTTATATCAACGGAACCAGAAAATGGGCCAAGCAAGAGTTGTCATATTCCGTGTATTAGGAAGGTGTTCGAGAACAAACTTGGCCGCTACAAAAGCCAGTGTTTGAACAACACCACTTCGGTTTTGAATAATGAGACGGAGTGTTCAAATATTCTTTAACAAGGACAGAATTTGTATAGTTATTGTATCTTTTGAGGACAGACGCTGACCAAACTGCAAAGAAGAACATTCTGGAAAAAAAGAAACCTCTGTCAGCAGTTCACGGAAAAATTCAGGTCCGAAAGGGTTAATTTCGAGATTTAGTTATTCCAGCAATCGGGGTTACTTCGTCAACCATATGCTTTCCCTTCAGCTATCAATGCATTCCATACACTAATTTTTATGTGGCAAAATTTCGAACTTTTAAGGCCCAACCTTTTGACGGCTCCAATTTGGCAACAAATGGCACGACTTTTGCTTCATGTCACAATCGTCAAAGCAGTTAGCACAGCCGAACCAAGAAGTTGAGATGCAGGCGAATCTGCTGAGTCGATCTAAGAAACTGTCGAACTGAGGAGCACTGGACTGTGTAATTCACGGCGCAGTATATAGGTGAATCCTCATCCACCTGTAGTCGTCTTCTTTACAAAAGCGAAGGAAGCGAAGCCAAAGCGAGGCTTGATAAAAACTCCAAGTCACTGTCGAATGAACTATTAGATTAGATACTAAATTAAACAAGTATATCTGAAATCGCATTTACGCGCGATACTAATTCCATGGGTTCAAAAAACCGGAACTTTGTTTTGCAGCAAGATTGGTCACCAGCCCATGGTTCGCCAAGATGGCTCCTCTGCTTGTAGCCATCTTTAGCAGAAAACATCTTGTCCAATCGACGGGCTAGAGCTTCAAAGAGAATATAAAGATTGATGCCACCTATTTGTGAATCACCGTAGAAGCCTTCCGAAAGCGCATTTCGGATGGGAGCAACCATTTCCGAAAAAACTGCCGCCATGCGTCATCTCGCGAGGTGGGTGGGAAGCGTTGCAACGGGGGTCGATGGTTGCAGGCCCGTAAGGATTAGCGCCTAATTTTTGCGACGAAGCTGGAGTGATCTAGGTAGGTACGGACCTTACAATTTCCCTCGCGGTATCCTTCCTACAAGTCGGGCTAATCCCGGGGTTTGCCTTCAACATCAATGTCACAAGAATGCTGGGTTGTCAACTAATTTCTTGCCGCAGACGGGACTCGACCCGCACCTCTTGTTTACCGGGCAAGTGGCTACATCAACATCAGTTGTGAAAGATGTCAGAATGTTAATCTGAGAAAGAATCTATTAGGTTGTCTCATAAGTAGTGGCGCATTTTTTCAAACGGAAATTTTTCTTGTGAACCTCTAATGTTTTACAATGTTTCATATACCATTCGATAGGAAATTATCTGCTCTACAAGAAGGTATGTACCCTTTTTTGATTGTTGCAAATTGTTTGAGTTTTAGGCATGCAAAGTGGGAGCTTCAGACGACGAATTTTTGCCAAACCGACAGCTGACCTAAACTTTATACTTCCCTAGAAGAAATCAATCAATAATGTAACTATAACTTACTCATAACCTCTACTAAACATTCCACATTTAGGTTCCCTAAAAGCTTGTCTCGTTTAATTTTGAGATTTAGTTATTCCAGTGCAACTCGGTGGTTGCCTGTCAACCCATAGGGCTTCCTTCAGACTGATATTTTCCATTCCAATTCCTCAGTATTGACGCTACTTTATACACCTTTAGGAAGTGTTTCTTCTGCTCTACTTAATTGCATGCCAACACTAGTTTTCGATGTGACATAATTCGAGTTTTAGGTCCACCTGACTGAGTGTCCGGTAACAATGACAACATCATTTTAGATTTATTTTCTTCTCATAAAGTAACAGAATCATTCAAATGATGTACTCCTCTTCATTTTCATGAGCTCTTCTCAACGATAAATACGTTTTCAAAGCCTCGGCGGTAGAAACCTTGAGGTCTAGTTTCGCAGAAATCGTCAATCCGAATTTTCAGTTTCGAGTTTTTCTTAAAGTGGACACCACTTGGAGCGTCCGACGGCGACCGGAAAACATGAAAATCCGAAGGCGCTTAATCGGGAGAATATGTTTTGTGCTAAGGATCTCCCAGGCGAGCTCTTCCAAAGCGGCCCTTGTGATCCTAGTGTGCGGGCGAGCATTGTCGTGTTGGAGAATGACATCGGCTTGACAATTTGGCCACTTCTGCTGCATTGCGTTGTTAAGCCCGTTGTTCGCGAAGAGCGTCGACGGTTCCGTTAGTATCAAACAGCTTGAAGTAGGGTATTACCTCTCAGTTCCACCAGACGCAGAGCATTGTCTTTGCGGGTGCAACTATTGCTTCACTCGAGGCGTCGCTTGCTTATTGGGGCTAACCCATTCCTTCCGAAGCTTCCTGTTCAGATAGAGGCACCATTTTTCGCGCCTGTCACGATCCGGTAAAAGAATCTCTGCCTGTTATTATGACTAGCTCTATGACGCGCAACTAGACAGGCGGCAATGTAGCAACGTTGGCCTTGTAACGAGCGCTCAGAAGGTGCGGCACCCATGCGCCTTCTGAGCGGCGCATGGGTGCCGCACCTTCTGAGCGCTCACTCCACAACAATTGTTGCTGCGCTATCCACAAATAAAAATCCCGGTGGAAAATTAGTGATGTTGTTTTTTAAACGATTGGCTACAGCATCATACTTTACTGCGGTACTTCAACAAAGGCAGCCTTCTTGGCTACAGTAGCCGTACTCATGGGGCGGTGTCGAGGACACCGGCGGCCACATAAGCATTGAACCCACCTTCAATCTGCCTAGAAATTTGTCCTGATATGTAGTTTGATATTATGAAGGTGACCTAGTTAATGTGGTGAGTGCGCTGCAGTGCCGTCTGGTCAAAGTCAGTGCATTCGAGCGAAGTTCATCAGAAATCAAACGAGAGTTGAGCAATGAAGGTTAATGGCATCATACTTGAGGTAAAGCGTTGCGAAAGCAAAGGAGAGTGCCTAGGCAGATTTCGATCGCTGAACGGCGGTTTTATGAAAATACGCTATTTCGCCGTTGAGCTATCACAACATACTGCTCAGAACCGTCATTTTATTATTGGGACGGATTTAGCATGGAAATAGATTTTGGAATCAGCATCCCTAACACGCTTAGAGGATGTAATCTCACAGAACGGTCACAGTTTCTACTTATTTCATTGCCTTGAGTAGATATTGTTAAATAAGTGCGGGAATGGAAATGGGGTTTTGGTTTGGAGAATTGTTGATGGGTGATAATTGTTGGTTACCGCCGTTTATGTGCTTTAAACTAAAACCAATTCAATTGCATCAAGAATAATGTTTTATATAACTAGTCGCGATGGGGTGGAACTTCAGGACAGAGACGGGCATTATGCCTTTTTGTACTGCTAACTGTATAGTAGCAGATTCCGCATTGTTTGACATTGCTGCTTATCCAAAAATAATTTGAAAGTTTATTATATCGGAATACGGTACACAGAAACTGAAAGATATTCATATCAAACAACAGCCACACTGATGCAAAGAACCGCTCGTCATTCGAATACATCCAGGAGAAACCTCTAGCTACGCTTTCATGGAACTGAGGCGGCCGAATTCAGCCTCTCTCTGAATATAGGTTCCTTAATGCGAAGACGGAAAGTAAATTATCACGTTATTGAATTTTAAAAAAACAAACTGACAGGATTGGCCAAATTATATGAAAGGACTTTAAATAAAAGCAACTTAAAGGGTCATCAGCACGGCGCTTTTAATTCAATTCAAAATATTCGAGTTTTGAATTATTTTCACGGAACCAAAGCATCTGTTATCTCATAATTCTCAAAAGCCACACACGGTGCTCACGACAGGAATTTTGCCGAGCACCCTGGAATGGGCAGCTCGGCAAACTTGGGACCTGAAGTAAAAGAAGGTTTCGAAACAGAGAATCGTTTATGCTGAGTAGGCATGTGACGTATATCCTATCCATCCCACACCAGTAGTTAGATCATGTGCAGTTCCACAGAGTGGTGTAGTGGAAAATGTGGGCACCTGAATTACCTACAGATTATAAGAGTGGTTGGCCCATATAGTGTACTATAAAAGTACCTGAAAACCAACATCGTTCTTAAAAGTGGTCGCTTTTTACAAGCAAATTTATTTTTTTATTAATGCTTTTACATTGAGTTATATACCATTCGAAAGAGAATTGTCTGCGTCTACAAGATAGTGTGTTTCTCTTCCATCTACATTCCATGGTTTTCAAATTTTAGGCCTGCGAAATGGGAGGTCCAGCCGACAAAAATTGACCAAACCGACAACTATCTCTAACTTTATCTTCCCTTGAGAGAAATCAATCAATACTGTACCCTCTACTTATGCATGACCTCTTCTAAACATTACACTATATTAGGTTTCCCAACAAGTCGCGTCATTCCATTTCCAGACTTCAACCAGAACTTGACGGTCAAGCATCACTACCTGAGATTGAGGTCGAAATTTTTTTATAGCCGAAACATTTAAAACTAGTAGGATTTGAAGAACAAGCCATGACTAAGTTAGGAGTGTGCGAGACCCTGATTTAGGTTGTTTTTTGTTCACGGGTAATCTTTTTCAAAGAATGGACAGTCATTTCGTGATTGCACGTGTACCCCTAAACACCCTGAATTTCGAAAAAGCTATTTCCTAACAAACATCAAAACAAAAAAAATGAGCGAATAGAGCAGAAGAAGTGCTCAAAAGATACACCAGTTGATATAAAACAATAGCGTTTCAGAGGAAGAATTTCAATTTGAAAATTGCCATGGCTTATCGGTCGGCCAATTCGAAAAGAAACAGGGCAAACCTTTTTCGGCAACCTAAGGGTGGAATGTTCAGAAGAGGTCATGAGTAAGTAGAGGGTACATCATTGATTGATTTCTCCCAAGGGAAATAAAGTTAGAGCTAGTTGTCGGTTTGGTCAATTTTTGTCGGCTGGACCTCCCATTTCGCAGGCCTAAAATTTGAAAACCTGGAACATAGTGGAAGAAGAACATAGCATCTTGTAGAGCAGACAATTCTCTTTCGAATGGTATATGACTCGATGTAAAAGCATGGGGATTTAGATGAAAATTTTTTGGTTGAAAAAAAGCGACACTATTTATGAGACAACCTAATAGTTAGTCCCAAATAACTGAAGAGAGCAAACAGAACGACCGAACAGCGGTAAGGAAAAAGAGAATTCCGACGAAAGTATGGGACGGCGACATAAAATTTTGAAGTTTTGAGAAGTAAAGTAAATAAAGTAAATTCTGCTATTGTTTTGATCAAGACTAAAAAAAACCACTCTTAATTTTCCGACACGCCGGAAACGACGGCACCTGCCCCGATGTATGAAATTCCATGCAGGTCAGAGAACTGAAAATCCAGAGGGTGCATAAGCAATTAACGGGCACTGGATGTTGCCAGGAAGAGCAGTAGTACGATTTCACGGAGATCCGAATCAATTACCTCTTGCCTGTGAATCACCGGACCACTATCCCTGCGCATTTCTGCTTTATAGCTCCGTTGAGAGAATCTTATATCAGATATAGAAAGCCGTTTTGTGTTGCTCAGTGTCCTCAAGATGTACACCCTACCAACAGTGGTGCACACCTCGTCTCAAATGGCCGAAGCGACCTGATGACCTTCCCTGGACAGATGTTGCGCCTGGTATAGTGTGACCGAAACCTACTAATGTGCAAAAGAGAATTTTTGGATCGTAGCCAAATCCATCGGCAAAGCACAGCAGAGATTATTGAAGAAGACAACTGTGTTAATGTGACAAAAGAAATCACCATAGGGTTACAATGAGAAAGAATGACTTGCTATATTCGCAAAAATGGTTTTATTTACTTTTGCCAGGGATACGCATGAAAGCTAAAGATTGTGAGAATTCTTACATTCCCCGTCTCAAACAAAAGTAATAAAGTAGGTAATTCAGAACTAAGAAATATATTGAGGCTGATCCTTCGTAATAAAGATCTTAATCTTGCACATTACAACCGAAGTGCACTGAACAATCAACTTACCTATACCTACTTATGGTAAGTGTAAGTTTAGAACAGTACCTTTCGACTCTCATCCGTAATTTTTTTGTCGAGCACATTCTTCACTGTCGTGACAGATTCTGCCAACTTCTTTATGGCCACCTTGCATTCGTCAAGCTCGCGTCGAACTTGTGCCTGTATCAAGTGGTTGGATTCAATAACTGGGGAAAGGCTTCTTAATAATCATGTCTCAAGAGTAAGCCTTTCCTGGGAGTGATAACATCCATATTAAGCTGTGTGGTCGACTCAGTCTGTGAGCGTTCAAGAGATGTTATACAAATCATCATTCACTAACCCAATGGCGACAATTCGTTCTTTCGGGTATCTGCCACGAAGGACCGCGTGCATTCTTCATGCAGCTC